CCGCGGGCGAGAGCGGGAGAAAGTCCTGCTGGTGGGCGGCCGCGGGGCCGCTCCGGCCCGGGCAGCGAGGGGGCCCGGCGGTCCATGCATCCGCCGCCGCCAGCCGCTGCGATGGATTTCAGTCAGAACAGCCTGTTCGGCTACATGGAGGACCTGCAGGAGCTCACCATCATCGAGAGGCCGGTCCGCCGGAGCCTCAAGGTGCGCCCCGGGGAGAGAAATTGCCTTCAGGGCGCCCGGCCCGCTGACCCCGCGCAGCCCGGCGCCGACCCCCGCCCCACTCCGCCACCGTCTGCTCCCCGAGGCGACCCGGGACCCTCTCAGAGTCGGACCGGCCCCTCCGTCCTTCTCCAGCCCCCGGTCGCCGTGTCACCCAGAACTAGCCCCTCCCGGGGCCCCTTCTTCAGCTCAGCCCCGCTTCTCCCAGTCTGGATCCCCAACCCTGAAGGACTGGTCCCTGACCCGTAACCATCCCCGCGGCCCCTGACCCTCCTGAGGCGTCCTAGCCGCCCCCCCCAGGAACGGCCGAGCCCCTGTCATCGGGGCAGCCCCAGCGTCCTACCCCCTCAGGCAGTCGTGGCCCCTCAGTTCCGGCCCCGTTCTCCCGCCCCCTTCAGGGGCTGCCGCTCGCAGTCACAGCCCGCTTCGCCCCGGTCCTCTCCTCGGCTCCCCAAGCCCTGGTCCCCTGATGGTGTCTGGGTTCTGGCCCCGGGCCCACCCCTCGGGCCACACAGCCTCCACTCCTCCCCCACCTCTCCCTGGGACCACCCCGGGTCCCATACTCACCCCCCAACCCTCAGCCCCCCATCAGATCAAGCTTGAGTCCTTCTGTCCCCGAGGCAGTCCGGCCTCCCTTCCTTTCCCAACCAGCACCCATTCTCAGATTCATCCTGGTCTCAGTCTTCAAAGCCCTGTCGACCCTTCGCCCTCATCCTAAGTCCCCGCACACCCTTTCCTCCCAGCCCCTCCAGGACTCTAGCTGGGACCCTGCTCCCCAGCCCCCTTAAGGGAGTCAACCTTCAGCTTGTTCCCCCCACCCCCACTCTCTCTCCCACCCCGCAGAGTCATCTTCCTTCCAGAGGTTCCAGCCCTCACCGCTGGCAAACCTAGTTTACGGACCCCCCTTTCCCTGGCCATCCTCTTAATAGCTGCTTTAGCTCTTCTCTCTCCCACCTGCCGCAATATCTCCAATCTTTGATTCGCTTCCAGCCCCAGAGTTTATTCCCTTCCCTCCCCCACTCCAGATCTTGTCCTTTGCGTTCCCACTCGGTTGCAGCCTTCATCCATCCCTTTTTAACATTTCCTGGGGCGGAAAATGCTGGGGAAATAACCTTGAGGTATTAAAGGTGAAAAGTGTGTGTGTGTATATACATATATATACACAACATATAAATATTTATTTTATACATGCGTATGAAATTGATTTCAGCAAGGTTCTGAAGCCACGATGTGATTCTTAAGCTGCAGTCTATAAGCTAGAAGAGTAAAAACAAGAAACAAAAAATCCCCCAAAACTCAACCACCCAATTTGAGACATCTGTAGTTGATGTAGCCTAGTATCCTCAGATCCTTGATTAGTTTTCATTGTTAATGCTTAACGGTGAAACTTTTTCATTAGTCTATACTCGTAGAGGGTGGGGGTGGGGTGGGGCACACAGACTGAATGTTTGTGTGCATAATTTGTATTTTACATTTGACAGACACCAGAAGAAATAGAAAGATTGACAGTCGATGAAGACCTCAGTGATATTGAAAGGGCTGTCTATTTGCTCAGGTATTTCCCAGTCTTTCTGTGACATTGCTTTTTTTTTCCCTGCTGTGACAGCATGGATGCATGTTTTCTGATATGTTAGTTATGCTCACATTTACTTAACCACTTGAACGGAGTACTTTTGCATGCATAGCACTTAATTCTGTTATAAATTAGATTTGGGTGTGGAGTTACGAATTTGAGAACTGAAATCAGTTAAGATACCTAACTTATAGAATATTGTTTGGAGAAGGAGGAGCAGAACAACCGATGCTTTGAGTTGAACATCATCCTCTTTTTCTTTTCTGGCTTTGATTTTTCTCACATAAGATTTAGTAAGTTTAGTATTTCTTGGGGCAGAAAATGCTGGGGAAACAACCTTGAGGTATTAAAGGTAAAGTGTGTGTGTGTGTGTGTATGTATATATTAATAATCACAGTATCCTGTGATTAATTTTAAGTTAATTGTAGAGGATAAACGTTATATGGTATTTACTACACAGAAAAAATCCACAAATATGATAGTACACTTT